ATGACCATTAAAAGTCTCCAGGAAACGAAAGAAGTAGAAGCGGGCATTGAAAGACCAAAAATTGATCCGATGCCACAAAAATTCCCGGAGCCAGCAGCGAATCAAAGACCTGGAGAACCACCAATGGATCCGAGACCATCAGAAAACTCAATTTCCTTAAAATCAGTAGCTGCTTTGGATCCCGCAAAACTGGCAATGCAGCCGAGTGATGCAAATCTAGCCAAAGATCGAGATACTGGAGCAACAGCAACCGAACTGGTTTCTGATACGCCACTAGCAACGGACAGAGACACAAAAAAGGACAAAAGCCTAGGTCTAAAAAGAAAACGAATTTTGCTGGCGCAGGCAATACTAATCATTTTATTGCTGGAACTTGCTGTTAGTGCTGTAGCTCTCATTATCAGTCTGTACAGTTCGATGAAATTCACGTCTTACACGTAAGTGTTCCGCTAATTTCGACATTTATCCAGTTCGAAACTCTTGGGCTTCAAATCTTGCCCCAAAGCAACTGTCTGTGTAAAAAAGTAACAGCGTCAAACGGTTAGGACCATGGGAAGGTGAAACTCGACAGGTTACTGACCAGGACCGGTCATTCTCCAAAATGGAAGATGTAAAGACCATGGTTGAGAAGGCTGATCCTCACATGTACAGGACATCAAAACCCATCTTTCAAATTTTGTATAACTAGTTACTTGGTAATTAATTTTGATAAGAGATTGCTTGCCGCAGCAGTAACAACCACTTACTCCCTCATTTCCCGCTCGGTCCAGATACTGAATACATGAAAACAGCGTATGGAAGCTGCTCTTTAAGCTTTGGCTGGTATCACAAACTCTCTTGTCCACTCATTCTCTTGTGAACAGAACCCCTTTTGCAAATGCGCATGAATAGCTAGGAAGCGGTAATGGCTGGCTGTAATATATCTGAGGTTTCCGGCCATTTTCATATTTCTTGAGACGACAGTTAATCTTACAGGATATCTAAGAATTAGCTTTCTCATGCTTTTTTTATAAGTTTAATTATTTATTTAATTATTTGTTTAAATTCAAGTAATCGAGTCCCGATATTTCTGACAAGCTTTACTACAGCATGATTTTGCCAGCTTTTACGCATCGTTATGGTTTATTTGCGGGTGTTTTTCTGGTCAATTTGTTCGCTTTGCTTGTTATTATCGTTGCTGCGTGCCGCATATATAAATTTCGGTAATTTGCAAATTCATATCAGATTTTATTGTGACT